TAATAATAATCATCAAATTAACTTCATAATTCTGTCATCTCAATCTTGTCTTAATTATTTACAATTCACTACTTATATATATATATAGAAAACAAAATCATAAAGACAATAACTAAATAATCTGTAAGCTCTCCTAATGACAAATATTTTAATTTTTGTATATAGGTAGGCTACTAGTACTTCAAAGCTTATACTACCATGCATTTTTTAACACCGTGTTTTTCTCAAGACCACAAGAGACTTTCTGTTTACTTGGCCATGGGAAACTTTTCTAAAAAGTGCCTATGTAACTATTGCGGCCAGTTTTTGCGTCTTGTCTGTGGAAACAAAAATAGGAGCGCAGCCTCCCTTCAGCTTTGCACTCTCGCCTCTAGCGTTGTTTTCAATCTCAGCAGCGGTTCCCGGTAACGACGTCACCGCTCATCTGACAGCTCGAGAGCGGAACGAACTCTTGTCCAATTAGCGGCCGCGAGTCTCCAAGCCACGCCCCCGGGACGCGGAGTATAAAGCGCTTCGAGGCGCACTTTCTCGTGAGATCGAGTGCGCATCGAGACAGAAGACTCCGCGTACGACTGTTTGTAAATAACTGTCCTGGAACGCAACTTTTTGGACATCAGCTGTCAAGGGAAAACACCTGTCGACTTGGTACAGTAAAGTTGTTCAAACTATTTTGGAAGTTTCTTTTCTCTCTTTGAAATCTTTTTTGACATCTTCATGTAATATTACGGAGAGAACAAGATTTGCGGACAGTAAAGTGTACAGTCAACTCAAAAGCCTCCAACCTAATTGCTATTCACATGTCAACAAAAATGGAGCAACCGTTTTATCATGACGACTCGTTTCTTTCTGCTTATGGTCATCCAGACGCTGCCCTGCACAACTACAAGCTCCTAAAGCAGAACATGAGCGTGGGCTTCGCCGAACCTTACCGGAACCTCAAGTCCCTGCGCTCCGAAAGCGACTTCTACACCGGAGACGTGGGCTCTCTGAAACTCGCCTCTCCGGAGCTGGAGAGACTCATCATCCAGAACGGTAACGGTGTCATCACATCACCCACTCCGGGGCAGTATCTCTACGGCCGGAGCACCACAGAAGAGCAGGAGGGCTTCGCGGACGGCTTCGTAAAAGCGCTGGACGAGCTCCACAAAATGAACCAGATGCCCCCGCCAAACGTCTCCATCGGAGCCGGCGGCGTGTCATCCTGCTCGGCAGCGTCGTCGGTCTTCGGCGCCTCCCTGCAACCGGAGAGCCCCGTGTACACCACCCTGAACAGCTGCAATCCCAACACTAACCTCACACCTGCAACCAACTACCCGACAGCCACCATCAGCTACCTGCCTCACCATCACCACCACCAACAGTACCATCACCACCAAGCCACGACGCACCCTCATCACTTCCAGCACTCGCTCCATCATCCGCAGCGGCTTGTCGCGCTCAAAGAGGAGCCACAGACCGTTCCCGATCTGCATTGCAGCGACGGCTCTCCTCCCATGTCCCCCATCGACATGGAGGACCAGGAGCGCTTCAAAGCGGAGCGCAAGAGGCTCCGCAACCGGCAGGCGGCCACCAAGTGCCGGCGACGGAAGCTGGAGCGCATCTCCAGGCTGGAGGACAAAGTCAAGGATCTCAAGTCGGATAACGCCGGACTGTCCAACACCGCGTCCCTACTGAGGGAACAAGTCGCCCAGCTCAAGCAGAAGGTCATGACCCATGTGAGCAGCGGGTGCCAGCTGATGCTGCCGTCCAAGATCAAGTCGTTTTAGTACGAACTGCAATGACGCGGACACTGGCAAAATGGGAAACACTGGAAGCGCAGATCATGTTTGTGATGTTTTGATGCAAATGATACTAGGCCTATTGCAGCACTGAGTACGAGCGTTGTATATTTCTTAAGTGTTTTCTTGTAGAAAACTATAGTGTTAAAGTTGTTTTCAAAAGCATCTTCAAGGTAGATGAATGGACGGTGAATGCACAGGGGAAACCTTTTACGTTGGTTTTGTTTTTGAGTGCTGCCCTATGAAAACATTCCTGTAAGTTATTGATGTTGTGAGTCGGGTTGATCCAGACCTGTATTTCTGTTTGTTTTGTTTATATTTTTTATATTTAAGTAAAAGCCTTGAAAATAATTCCACTCTTTGGGTTGTTCATTTCTGGCTCACTCTGTGCGGCTTAAAATTGACGTTGAAGACGTGCCCGAGTTGGCTTCTTTTTCCTGCTGACGCAAAGCCCATATATGGGCTGTTTTGGCGCATGTACGTCACTGAGGGTAGACTTGCGGGAACCCCCGCCCAAGCTGCCGGGCAGGAAGTCCGCGCGCTTTCAAGTCTGACGCTCGAATGAATGAAGCGCGTGTGAATGAGTGAAAATTTAGCAACGCGGGATCTTCCCCGCGCGCAGAAACCTTCCCAAAACAGTTTCAACGAAACGAAAACTAGAGATAAAAATACGAACACGCACGGGCATTTTCCAGGTACTTTGCAAAAAATGGAGCCGTTGCAAGCATAAAAATAGAAAAACAGATCGCAGTAAATAACATCTAGACTTATAAACCAGAAGTGCCCGCAGTAAATTGATTTCCGGAAAATATACCGTAGTTTTGATTAACTGTCCAGTACCAAAACCACAGACCCACGCATAAGGCCTATATGATCGGTTTTTATAACAGCCTTTATTCTTTCACAAGTAGCCAGTTTTCTTCATTTTAGTCAGCCCCAAAAGTTTTTTGAGGGATTCTTTAGAACTAATACATTAGCCAAACAGAATGTAAACACAGCCAATTCTACTTGGGCATAAATTATCCATAGATGGTGACTTTATTAGATATTAGCCTACACATGAAAGGGATTAAATCCATATCTCATGTCAGGACATAATCCTACCCAAATAAGCACATTTGATTCAAATAGCCTATATAAATCAAATCTAGTGTTTTGTAGGCTATTTACTTTCGTAATATCTTTAGGTTTTAGTGGACATTGTGTTTTATTAAAAAGACGAAGCATCAACCGTCGCCCTCATATAGTTTAAAACATCATTTAGTTTAAAAACAAGATATTTATAGAATATCACCATTAAAATCGTAGCTCTATTTGCAGAATATATTAACAGTTTTAAATTTAGCTTGATGGCACAATATTTGTTAAGACGTTAAATATATAAAAATACGTACAAAAGCACCTTTTCAGTAGGCCTATATAAAAAGACCCATAGGCCTATTGTTTTCAGTCCCATTCTCAGCTAACAAAAATATGCTTTAAGAACATTTTTACAACGTTCTCATTAGTATGAAAACGTATTTCTCGGAAAGTTTAATGTTTTTTTTTTTAAATACTTTTTTTTTCTTGGTTATACAGTAGGCTACAACCACCACATGAACATTCTATTTTATCTTTGTGCAAACATTATAGGAATGTTACTTTTGAATGTTCTCTGAATATGCCGAAGTCATAACATTCAAAGAACGTTAGACAAACGTTCAACTAAAACGTTTCAGGAAAAAAGGTTCCATGAATAAAGTATAAATCATGTTTTGAGAACGTTATTAAAGAACTATGAATGAGCACTAACGTTACTGGAAGAACGTTCGTTCAGATGTTTTCGAGAACCTTGCCAAAACGTTCTCTTGAGAACCTTTCCTGTTAGCTCGTTTGGCATCAATCATTTGATGTTGAAAATAACACCATGATAACAATTCAGCAAAATCAATCAAATTCACTAGCTACTTCCAGATTATCAAATGTCAAATGCCTTGCTTTTTTGAGTGTTTTATCACCAGATTGTCACTATTAGATGAGTTGTAGGCTACATAACCCCGACAGCAGCAGCACATAACCTACACATTTGAGAGAGTACATCGTTTAGATCTCTGTCGTGAATACAAGCTCTGCTTAATTAACATTAAAATCTGCCTTGAAATCACTTATATAGATAGGCCTACCTAAATTATTATTGCTCTGAGGGCTCATAAGAGCAAGTTGCTCCTGAGCTACTTCTCTCAAATGTAATGAAATACTGCCATCTACCGGTCTGATTTGTCCAAATTTAAGACATGTTCCAGGTGTCCAGACATTGGCTTACTGCGCATGCGCACATCAATATTGCATCCTTTTTCTCACGCTGAACAACATTTAATGTATTTGCATTACTGTAAGGAGTAGGTTTAGGGTTGGGTAGGTGTAGACGTTAATAAAACAATCTATGTAGAAAAATTAATTCATTGTTGGATTCCAGCCGTAGCTGTATACCTTCTAGCCACAACCGCGAATAACACATAATTACTGTTTTTGCATTACTGTAAGGGTAGGTTTAGGGTTGTGGTAGGTGTAGACGTTAAACCATAATTTGACTGGTAGCATTTTTCATTGTCGAATTGAACTACCTACTGTTTTAACGGGAGGTAGCAAAATCAATTCGAGCTCTACCAAAATCATTTGTGGTAATGTCCATAACGGAGTTATTATATTTATTTAAAACTGACCTATACTAAAATTCTAAAAAAAAAATAATAATAAAACAAGAACTTCATTGCTCACTTCAGACATTTCACATTTTGTTTAGTTTAACTTTAAGTACTAACTGAATAGTCCAAATAAAAATTAATAAAACAATAACTAATAAAAATAGTTACTAAAACTATAAAATTAAATGAAAATAGAAAATATCTAATTTAAATATGAATATATTATTGATACACATTTATAACACTGTGACTGGTCCATTATCAAATAAGCTTGCCTGGTCAATTATACTGGTTTAATTGCAGTTGCACAAAGCGCTGGATTTACAAGTAGAGATGTACAGTTCATATTATTGCAAAATAATTTTTACTAATAATATTTAGTAAAAACCTATTTAATATATGAGCAGTAAAGCTGTGAAAACTTTTCTGGATGGATGAACCTATAGACAGTCAAAATGTCAGAAACTACGTAACTTGTAATGAACCTGAAACACAACAACAGCTGAGTTATGTTGGTAAAAATAAGAGAACTGCACCATCACACAAAAACAGTCCGTTTATTTCACAGATATTGATGATCACCAGATTGTTAAACAACTTGAAACAATTCAAAATGAATCAAATGTTCACGGAGTACTAAATATGTAATACCGATTAAATAAGCTGAAAACAAACTACAGACATTTCAATGCATGGGAGATGCTGACCGCAACAGCTTCTTCAGACAATGAAAAGGAAAAGAAATCTGTCTAACAAGTGCATTTAAACTGCAAAGAGTTTGTTACGTTGGCTTAGACAACTTTTCAAGAACTCTCAGGCTAAGGTTAAGTGCTCTAGCGTCCCACTGAATGGGAGCACGATCCGGGAAATACGACAGGACTGTTACTGCTTGGAGAAGAACTCCTTGCTCTTCTGCACATCTGGAACAATAGTGTCACTTCCAGGTTTCCATCCAGCAGGACAAACTACGGAGAACAGACAGACACCTTATTATAAACCTCTGTGGAGACTGACACTGAACATTCTGGCATCACCTTCTGTGAACATCTCTTGGTCATATATATATATATATATATATATACACACACACATACACGCTATCAGCAAAAGTTTGGGTGGGTATGGTTTTTAAAAGAAGTCTCTTCTGCTCACCAAGGCTGCATTAATTAGATTTTTAAAAAATTCAATAATATTGTGAAATATTATTACTATTTAAAATTACAATTTTCTATTTAAATAAATAAAATAAGTGACATGACTAAGTGAGTGAGTGACGTGACATGTGGCCAAGTATGGTGACCCATACTCGGAATTAGTGCTCTGCATTTACCCATCCAAGGTGCACACACACAGCAGTGAACACACACCGTGAACACACACCCGGAGCAGTGGGCAGCCATTTTTGCTG